GGATACAGACGAAGGGTATACAAAACCCTTTATTTTTCTTTATATACAATGACTTCCGTACTTCGGAATACAATGACTTCCGTACTTCGGAATACAATGACCCTCCACTCGGGGTCTAACGTAAAAGGTATAAAAAAAAACTAAACTCTAATTTAACTTTAGAATAACACACGTGGAAGATTGGCCTTATATAAAGGAAGCGTATGTAGCACAGAGACTGTGAACACTACAATACGTTTAATTTGAGTTTTTGTAGTCTTGGCGTACCAAATTGGTTTCGCTGTTGATATTGGCGTCTTCTTTCGACGTCCGCCGTTCTTCTACTTTCAAACTGGATTGCTAGCTCAAATAACTTTTCCAGTGTAGTCGGATTTCTAATTCAATAAAGTCTTGCACTTGGGGTAGTAACCTCGGCAAAATCACTTGAATTATTTCAGGATCCGGACGGTTTCCATACAAGAGCTTGAAAACGTGAATTTTTTCTTAAAATAAAGCTCGAGAGGTTTTCGATTCTTTGTTGATATATACTAAAAAGTTCCGTTTCTAATTTCGCACGATCCCTTACAACAGGGAAGGCTTTTAGTAGGGCAGTCTTGAAATTTTCGTAGGTATAGGTGGGACTTCCTGCTTGACCCAAGAGACTTCTGCCGATACATTTGAACCAGTTAAGCGCTTGGCCCCTCAAAGCGCTGGTAGCTAAGGTAACTTTTTGAAACTCGTGCACGGGGTAGGGGTAGAGCATGAAGTGGTCATCCAATTTTTCCAAAAAAACTGGTTACCGGTGAGTTTCCATTAAACGTTGCTTCTGGTTTCATCGAAGCGCGCATGGTCTGGACGATGTACCCAAATCCTTCCAGGGCGGCAGCTGGCATTTCTGGATTCTGAGCCGTTTCTGCAGGCAGCACAGGTTCTTCTTGAAACTCGGCCATGGTTATTCTTCGTCGGGGGCGCCACTATCAGGTTCAATGTTTCTTCTAACCTTCTTCGGAAACATACAATGGACCTGACTAGGAACAGAGAGCTTACTAAAGCTATGTTCACTAATTGTAGTAAGTAGACAGGATACAGACGAAGGGTATACAAAACCCTTTATTTTCTTTATATACAATGACTTCCGTACTTCGGAATACAATGACCCTCCACTCGGGGTCTAACTTAAAAGATATAAAAAATAAAACTAAACTCTAATTTAACTTTAGAATAAGACACGTGGAAGATTGGCCTTATAATAACAGGAAGCGTATGTAGCACAGAGACTGTGAACACTACAATACGTTTAATTTATCAAGAGGATTAAAACCTCTGGCCTGGAAGGCAAAGTAGCAACTGCGTAACTTCTAAGGTAAGCGGCCTGCTTCGAACTCACTGCTTCCTCTCTTTTGCTTGGCAAAAAGGCCACACTTAAATACTTGGCGTTCGCCAGACAACTTTGCATAAAATCCTTCACGCTTATAATTCTGGCCGGAAGTAGAAAATAAGAAGTGATAGTAAAGATTTAAAATAAAATAAACGTTAGTAAAACTTAAGATCCTTACAACATATACTATATTCGTGCTCACAAATTCTTTCAAACATTAATGATAGAGAAGTAATGAAAAAACACCCAGCTTACAGAAAGCTGCAGTCGAAGAGCAGCACCTGTTGACTACGTAAAGCACTAGGACCCTCGCCTGCAATCAGTTACCAACTAACTATCACCACTTCTTCGTCCGTAACTATTTTCTTGGATAAAAATTCATGCCAGTAGGAAATATATATTCTGATTACAGAAATATTATAAAACGAATACGTCAGAAATATAATGAGTCCCCCATATTCAATATTTTTATCAATGATATATCAGAAACACCTGGGTGCGTATTAACAAAGTATTCCTGTAACACGATTTATGTTGTAAATCTTTTTATCTCCAGTTTATTATAAACTCTATTCAGTGCAGTAAATGTTTCAGAATTAAAAGAGTGCCTACAAAATTGCATCTGTTCTCTTCACAAGAAATCAATAATACGCATATTTTCAGTGGAAGAGAAGACAACGTCAATCGATTTGAGTAGTTGAGATTAAACTTGGACTCAAAACTTTAAAGAGCATTTAAGAAAGATGACAATTTAGATGGCTAATAAAATGTTTAGATTGTTTTTACCGTTCATGAAAAGAGGAATCAGAACTTCTCATGCAAAATGTCTTTGATATCCTATAATAGTTCTCTTTCGCAAACTTTAATATTGTTTCTGTGTTGGTCTGGGTTAAAGTGTGCCGTGGTACAAGATATCTTCAGATTGTACTGAATAAAATTCTACGCATTATTATTGCACATGAGTATTTAATAAATTATTATTCATTGCAACATTCTAACAATCTTAACCGATGTGGTAATGTTAAGAGCCATTCACATAACTTTTTGGAACATGTTACAATTTATAAAGGAATTTAAGTTATAGAGTCTCGTTCTTTTTGGTAGCATAAACTAACGAGCTCTCAAACGCATAACGAGCTGCATGAGGAATTATGCTCAGGTATTGACAACAGGTGAAATCAGAAGAAAGGTGTAAAGAACACTTTATTCAACCCCATAAAGCTGAACAGAAAGTACAGGTAGAAGCTAGGCCAGCACCTCAGTAGTACCACAGGTAATTGAGGTATTGCTGAACCTAGCTAACTGTTAAACTTTCCACCCCAATTCTGAGAGAGAACCCCCGAGGGTGGTCCGAGGATCTCCTGCCCCCTTTTTTTTACCATCAACACTTTGAGAGGACATTCTGAGATAACTGATTAGCTGAACAGACATTCCCACTTGGGTTTACATAAACCAGCACTTCTGGCTTAACGCAAACAAGTTTTGTTGAGCATAAAATAAAATGTAATTAAACTAGCTTAAAAGCTCACAGGATAATTTGAACGCGCAGGAAGGCTCTGACTCGTAGAAGCAGGCGGAAACAAGCCTAATGGCTCGAAACTTTCAGTGTCACAGAAAGCAAATCACTTGTAAGCCCAAGTAACAACATGGCCTTCAAACAGGCATAACACGCTCTAAAATCACCTTCCGAAACCTTCGCTTAAACAGCACATCTTTCTTCTTTATTTGAATAAACACGTGCTACCTGATTAGCATTCTGGCAGGGCAAGCGTGGGTAAAAAACGAGGATGAAAAGAAAATTGCTTTAACTAAAAATTTATTATTAGTCAAAATAAATAAATAAGTCATCACAAAGTATAATAGGCACTGTTGCTACGGATTACTACCTATGCATTGCGCAGTGTGTCCTAGAATGAGTACAGCAACTAACCCTATCTAATTTTCCATGCAGATTAGAACTTGCACACTCATATCTGGCAGTTGCGAAAGTGATGAGCGAACAACAGCTGCGTGGAACGTGGCACAACGCATTGGGATCAAATTTCTCCTTCGAGGAAACATACAGCCACCAGAAACTTGGTAGAGATTCCAACATAAATATGGGGAAGAAAGGAAGAATATCTCTGTAGGACCCATGCGTTTGAGATGTGTATATACTTCAATGAAGAACGATAGCGTGTTGATAACATCTGTTACTCCGACAAATCACAAATGTTAATCGTGTGGATGCGATTACCTGTGAGAGTAAAGCGCATCACTATCAACGAATTTTCGTCGATGCTTGCAATCAGGGTATGTAGTGTAGAAGCTATTTTGGAAAAAAACATTTGCGCTATGGTAAGTTTCTGAAAATTAAAAAAATATTCGCATAATTTTCAGTGCGCTCAGAGAACGACCTCCTCTAAATTTTGAAATACGTTCATTTACGAAGGGATTATTTTGTCTTAGTAACAAAGACAAACCCTTGCAAACTACCTGCAAAAGTCACTCTGAACCTTTCCCTTCTAACTGTCGAACTTTATGCTAGGCTAATACAAAGGCCGACCCAATACAGCGAAGGAAATACGAATTGATACTAAGTCTATGATTTCGCCGAATCACCTGCACATTCACCCGCTCTAATTATTTATGTATATTTCGAGGCTTAAGGAATAAGGGAAACAACAATAAGAACGGACGAGATTCAAGTTACAGAAGTTGAAAAGAAGGCATCCTGTTAGATATTGTAATGTTAATATTCTTATGTATTCTTATTGAAATGTAAGCATTTTTTAAATAAAAAGTAATTTAATAGTTACCTGTAGATATCCACGACTGTTCTTCATTTGTTATACTCTTACTATAACTGCTTCCTTCGTAAATTAAATTATTTGAATAGTTTCCTACTTTTGAGTTTTGATCGATAAAATCGGTAAAAAAGGGAAGGAATAGCGAGGAAATACGTTATCTCAAACCATATTGACAAAATATGGTATAAAGCCTCTAGAATTGAAATCTGAGGTAGGATCTTCACACATTAAGCAAAATTTTATCGATAAGTGAAAAAAATGGTCTCAAAATTAACTGCGAGAAGGATGAAATGGAATGACGACAATGTTATCAGGATTATTTCTAATAACAAAATGCCTTTTTTGATGGCAAGACGAGAAGGTTTTAACGGCTTTATCAATGATAGTGGCAGTACATAAACCCTTTAGCAAAGGCAACCGATTTAAAAAAAAATGAATTAATAAGAAGCAAAGGTTCTCATGAACAAACTTTGAAAGCACAATATGCAGAATAGAAACGTTTTGGTTTTGTTAGATTATGGCAAAGCACTCGAGGGCTATCTGCCTTAATGAAGGGATACCTTCGTGGAGGACTTTCTAAGGGAAACTGGCTCGTATACACTTTACACATGGGGAAAACTACGAAAACGCCCATGCAGCCAGCCCGTTTGCGGGATTCGAACGTCGAACCGAACTATCAGTGTTCGGCGATGTTACCGCTCGGCCGCTGGTGGGCCAGAACAGTAAAGAGAAGCTACTTTTAGTTTATAGCAGGAAAACATGATTTAGCTCTGAGAAGCAAACAAACAATGAAATGTTTCCGGAAATCAGTAGTGTTGAAATTAAATTCATTGTCAATATTTAGAATAACTGACCTGTTGTTGTCATGAGAGAGATACTGAAGAACAGGGAACCTTCAAGAGTCCATCTTGTTCCTCTGTCAACATCGTCTTCCCTCCTGTAACCAATGGCACTGGCTTTTAAAATATCCCTTTCGAAGATCTGGAGGTATCGAAACACAGTTTTTGCCCATACATCTTCGTGTGGACGAACTTGTCGCAGCTCTGTAGCCAAAAGGATGGCTGTGTCATTCTTCCATTTGTCGATTTTGGCATTGTAGGCAATTTCCCGCTTTTTTTCCAAATGGGAAAAGAGGTAAGCCCCTCCAGTGGCATAACCGAAGGTAATGGCCGTCAGCAAAATTATTAAACTGAATCGCTTAATGGATCGACATTTTGTTCTTCTTCTTGTTTGCAAATCAGCTAGTGTCAGCACTTGTATTTCCTTTTGAGCAATTGGAGCAATCTGTCTTTCTCTGTTAAATATACAAAAGGTAATTAATGAACTTAAATCTGCATGGAATAAAACATTAAAATTAATAAATAAGTAAACAGTATGTTCGATTTCTTTTTTATAGAACTTATCTAAATCGAATAGAAACCAGAATGAATATCATTCAGGATTAAAAGAAGAAATAAATAATTTCTATCCCCGCCCCCCCCCCAAGGAAACGATTCCAAGAATGTTCTCTGACAGAAACATTAATGAATAAATAGTCTTAATCAATTAATTATTAGTAAAATATGACGCATGACACAATATGTTTAGACTTGCTAATATATGCAGAGGGTATTTACACAATTTTAGAATGATTTCCATATACAAACTTTTAACGTTCTGCGGCTAATCGTTTTTGAGTTATGAGAGATACATGTTAGCGTCACGACAAAAATCCTTTTGAATCCATTTTGCAATCCGTTTTGGAAAGAAAGAAACTTAATTCTGTCCGTACGTACAGATTTCACGCTCCCCCCCCAAAAAAAAATCGTCCAAATGGATTCGGGAACAGTCAAAATGTATATTTGCGTTGAAGTATGATACTCGATATATTTTAGCGATTACAATATTTCCTTTACCTTGTAAAAGGAAGTAGAAACCGGTAGTAGCATGATTCAGTATGAACCGTTCACTACCTACGGTAATACTACCTGCCTAATTCAGTATCGGCCTTACGGTTTCATTACCTACCTAATTCAGTATTGGCCGCATTACCATTTCGTTACATTACTTGCAAAAATTCAGCATTGCAAATCTTTCTAGTTTAATTAAAATTTTTGTATGATTGGTAGATTATGATTGTCATGTCATAAAATTTTATGACAGCATTAATAAAGCATTTTTCCTATTTCAAAACTCATAAGTTGCTTACATGAAAATTCTTTCGGCATATTATATGTAACGAAATTTGAAATCAATGAATGCTATATACGGTGTTTCTCTACCTGTTTTGCCCCATGCATCGGTTTGGCCACCACTGCTAGAAGATCATCTCGCCATTCCCAAATTCGAAAAATATTTATACATTTATTTAGATTTTTTAACATGTTTTATAAATTAAGCAACAAAAAGGTATAGAAAATGTTAATTAATAATCAAAACTTGAATAAAAGGGCTTTTTTTTGTTTTGTTTTTTGTTCATAAACTAAAACTAAATACTTAAGATGTGAATTTAATATCTAAAAAAAGAAGCTCTAAAGAAAATAAATTATATATCTCCCAGAATGAATGGAACTGTTCCCCAAGTCAAGGAAACAGATGAACTAAACAACGTAATAAAAGGGAAAGATGTCTCAGTAACCGCCGATCAAATCATGTTTATTTAATATCTGCAGATGGAACCTTCTCCACTTATTACTACAGAATAATATCTCATCCTCAGACAACTGTGTTGTGTTGCAAACGAGGATCTCCAGAACACTAACTCTTATCATGTCCATTAACACAAGCACATTACAAAGTTAGACCAAGTGCAAAGGAAATGGGTTTCGAAGATATATAATGAATAATCCAAAATTTCATTACAAAAGAAACAATACTAGAAAATAACTTTCGGAACAAAGGCAAGATATTTGTGAGCAATAACTGTTACGAAAATGTTTTTATATTATTATACAAATTCTTCTAAATAATAACTGTATGGAAATGTTTTGGAAAACTTTCACGGAGCTTCTGTAGGATACTTCAATGGATCAGCAGCATCACGAGACAGTATATGTACCACCATATGGTGCTATAAAGGGCGAATCCCCATCCCCTCCCTAGCCGAAACAAGTTCAGTCATTAGGCCATATCACCATATGGTAAAGTCCTGGTGTCTCGTATGCTTAGTCCTGTCCTGACCTATACATTTGTTTTACATTAACTCTATTATTTGTTTAAAAATAATACGTGGTGATAACATTTTGGGGTAAAGATTTGAAAAGTGATACCGAAAAAAAGTTTTAGACTAATAACACCTCTGTTTCTGAAGACAAGCAATTCGTTTTTATTTGGTTTTCCAAATTATGAGACTATCAGTGATATGCGTAATGTGTAAATAAATACTTTCTATATACCGCGAAAATCACAGCCACCACGTTAAAATAGGAATATTTGTATTCGTTCGCATTCTTTATCCTTTCTCAGTTAATAAAAAACAATTTTCCGGAATTAGTTACTGTAGCTATCATGTAATTATTTTCATTTTACTTGGTGACAGCCGGTGTAATAAAAACTATTATGTGCATGTTTATTACATGCCTTCTAAAATTTGTTAGCCCAAAGGGGCAGTTTGCCCAGAAGGAATATTAATTTCGTTTTGGCATTTTGCCTTGATTCACTATAAACGGAAAATGACTTTTTAAGCCGTTGTCACGAAATACGTAGAGATATAAGAGCCCTGTATTACATATTAAAGAAATTAAATAATGAAGAATCTGCATGACTGCATGAATGTTTCTCGCACTGTGAAAAAACAACGGTATCTTAGAGCCATCAAATTTTGAATAACGTAGTCCTCAATCGAACATGGGGACTTGGAAGCCCGAATTTTTAATTTCGAATTTGTTTTATTATCTATTTCAAATTTTGTAAAAATTTAACGAAATTTTGATTAATAAACTCAAGTTTTTTAAAGCGAGCAATGGCAACACGATACGAAAAAAACATTTTTATCTGCAGCGCGCGAGACTGTGTATTGGAAATTCTAAAGATATGCTGTTTTAAATATTTTGTCATAATGCTGTTGAATAGAATTTTATGTGTCTTAATTATAAGAATTAAGGACATGATACTTAATAAATAAAAGTAACGTAAAAAACGTTAAAAAAACGCCCTTTTGGGCATAATATAAAATCTGAAAGCTTTCAGATGCTTTTTTTTTTTTTTTTTTGTGTGTGTGTGTGTGTGTGTGTGTTTTCTAACTTATTTTTTAACTCATCCCGAGGCAAAGTGAAAAAGATGGTGAAAATCTCATTTTGAAAATAAATAACTCGATCAAGTTATGTGCTACGGGAGGTAATATTTTTTGCATTTTGTGTTTTGAAATGTGCATAGACCTTTACTAAATACAACTGTGTAGACGATGTGAGAAGTATAAAAAGTTAGATTTCGTAGTTTTTACAAAATTTATTTTAAATTTAAAAATGGCGAAATATGAATATGTTCATCATTTAAGATACCGGGACCAAACATTGTGAAAATAATATGAGCATAAAAGAATTTTATGAACAGGCTGTATATGAAAACTGTTAAAAAATTTCGAATAATCATTTAAAATATATACCGTTATGTTATTAATAATTTATCTCAATGCAAATTGAAGCACAACAAAATAAGCTTAAACCTGTCTCATACGTAGTATTCGAGTTATTAGTTCTCAAATCTGCAATCGATATTTGTTTGCGGTAAACAATTGTCAATCTGTTCATGTGCAGATGTTGCGTTTCTAATCGCGAACTGTCAGTGAAAATGCATCCGTAAGTACCAGTTACAGTAATAATGGTGCTTGAATGAGACATCTCTGATTGTAAACACATTGTTGCTTAGAGAGGCGTTCTGGATTCTGTATTGAATTCAGTTATCTGTGTAAAATAAAAGATGAAGCAAAGATGACACAAAATGGTACTGTTGCATAAAAATAATTGGTTTCCCATGAAAAGCTTGGAAATTCAGTCTGGACTGCTTAGATATACAAACAATATTAGTCGTTCTTTTCATTTTAATTCTTCTTTGTCACAACTTCGATTTGTTTCATCGAATATGAGATAAGCTCATTCAACGCAGTTGTAAAAACTTTGGACTTTTCATAAATTATGGCACATATTGAACAACTATAGTTATTGCAGTTATAGAATAAACTTACAGTTAACAGCTCTAAAACAGCAGTTTTAGAGCATATGTGTGATAGGAATTATTGGCTACTAATATCGAAAGCCCAAGCAAAAAAAAAAAAATTGTAATAAATTAATTTCGAATGGTAATTTTGAATGAATGTGGAAACTTAAACGAATGTATTAGATTTTAATAACGAAGTTCAGCCTTCATTTCAGTCAAATTTATATAGTTTTCATATACAAGACCTCAATGTTAAGCTTTGGTTTAATCAATATTTATGAACTTCTTCAAGGAAAGGACTCGATTTTGAAAAAAAAAAAAAAAAAAGTATTAATTTAAGTTTTTATTTCTTTTTGTATCGTTTTATAACAACACCTTCATTACATTTTTTAATATTTAAAAATTTGGATAATCATTTTAAATTAATCGAAAAATTACCTTAAGGTCGCCTGAACGTTTTTAAATATCTGTACCATGATTCTGACATGGGCAATGTAATACCTTTTTGTTAATGGACTTCCTGAAACATCTATTCATACAAAACTGGTTCTTTTATTGATTAATAGTCAATATCAGGGAAATTAAATCCAATTTATATTCAGTATTCGTCTGAGTAAAAATGAACGAATGTTTCAAAATGTGTGGATGATTAATTTGACTTTACACATAGAAATAAAAATTTAAAAAATCCTTTGTAAAAAGAAGCCAGTATAGGAAATACAAAGACTTCTTTATCGGACAAAATAAGCAGACAAGCTTTGTGTTGTTGCAATTTACCTTGCCGGTACATATATCTAGTAGTGAATTCTTCGTAAGCTCTTAATTAGGGGTTTGCCGAAGTTTAGGCTAGGCTTGTTAATTAAGTACTCTGCATTTTATTTACTTTAACATGTGTTATATTGACCTTCAAGCTCAAAAAAGTTTTTGCTCCTGTTAAATTTTCGATTTGTGTAATAACCCTCCAATCGCCGTATTAATAAATATTTTTATTTTAAACTTTTATATTAGTGGCGCTATTTCTAGTTAGTGTGTGAAAATCGCCCGGTAATCTTCTAATTAGAAGAACTCAGTTATTCAGAAGTTAAATTGGGGCTTTCATTTGTTTAACGTAACTGTAAATTGGACAAAGAACAGAGCTGCATTAGAATAGAGAATTTATAAACTTTGCCTGAAAAGGCATTAAAAAAATTTTGTAATAAATTACGAATTATTACTTCTAATTTAGTTTTTATTACTTTTTATACAATTCCTAGAGCAATTATATTTTATGTTTTACGAACTAAAATTCTATGGTCTTCTTTATAACAAGCTGCATATAAAAGAAATACTATATAACTTTAAGTTGCATTCACAAGAAAACTACGATAATTAACATTTTATTCTGAAGAGATATGGAAACTCTAAATGTTTGAGAAATCTTTTGACTTAGATTAAGTAACTTGTAGAACGTACTAAACATCGAAAATAACAGAACGGCTTTGTTGTAGAAAGCAGTCTGTGTATTATACTTTCTGAAGTGCAACAAGGGCGGCAGAGGATATTATAGACATCATTTTCCAGGAGTAAACTCCGATTTGCACTACAGTCAACAGATTTCGAATCTAAATTGTTTCAAGTAAAAACTTACCTAGAAGAGATTCTGTACAATTTTGTTTTTATTAGTGCACATATAGCACACTGCAATGCAGCGAATTTTAAGTGCACTTAGTTGAATATGCTCCCAAGTTGTTGGATTTTTAAGTGCACTTAGTTGAATATGCTCCCCAATAACACTGGGTATGGTGACAATAACACCATACCCAGTGTTATTATCCCGTGGCACAAAGAACTGGTAATTCTTATTTGCTGAGACTTAATTAGTTATCAGTGTATTGATTGCTCATTTAAGTTCACTTAGTCTGTACATTCATCAGTTTTATATCTGAGTAGGAAATATGAAAAATGAGCAACGCTCTCTCTTTAAAGCGCATTTCGTATTTTCCGATTGCTAGCCAGATATGTTTCCATTTACATCACAAAGGCTCGAAGTAAGGAAGGAGATAATTCCTTACAGCTTGTGCATGATATCAAACGTATACTGCATTGAATAATCCAGAGGCACGAGGAACATTGAATTTTTATTTGCTCAGATAGTTAACGTGTTGATTTCTGAGAAGACCGGATCATACGATAGCAAACATCATCATGATTCCATAAAGTATGTCTTCGCCTGTCTTTTCATATTACGATGATCATTTCATGATGCTGTAACTAAAAATCCAACCCGAAATTTGCCTTCATATCGTTAACATTAAGTTCATATTATTAACTTAACAAGATTCTTTACAGTGCTGACAACTTAATAGTTAACAAAATGCAACGTCACAAAAGATTTTGTTTCTAATAGCATCAATAGATATCAAATTAGCATGCACTTCGGCTGAGCTTAGCTGTACTTTCATTTCAGACACTTTGTACCATCCACAGTACTACAATTAAGTACGCTTTGGACGGAAATTATCTTGTTAAACAATGTGTTGAATGTTTTGATGTACGTAATTGTTTAGAATAGTATTCCGAAGCGCTGACTTAGATGTAACACCCCTCCCCAAATGGCAATTCCATATGGTTTTTTTCATAGTAGACTTTTATCATAAATACTAATTATGAAACAAAATATAATTACCTGTTATTGAGCTGAAGAAACATATAACGAAGACTTCATGCTATTGTTTTATGATCACAACTGACACAAACCGAACCTCCGTTACTAAGTGCACCCCCCCATTGCTTTGTCAGGGAAACTGGTACAAGGATTTTCCTTAAATGGTCTAACTAATTAAGCCAACTTGTTGTATGAACCGATCAATCACAGCGAAGCAAACGCGATTTGATATCTGGTCGACGATTTTGTTGAGTCCGTTGCTTATTCGCACATGCGCAATTTTACCTTCTCTGCTTGATTACGATTTTGTTCTAAAGGCGTAAAAGAAGACAATGACTGTCTTGGAACTGTCATTTTCCCAATACTACCCATATGACAATGTATGTACTAGCTATACTTCTGTCTGAACATTCCCTTACTATCGTTTTTCTCTGTGTGGCCTTAACATTCTAACAGCGCACATACATAAAATTAGATTTTGCAGTGTTCGTAAAGAGTTTAAACATTTTTGAGTTACCATTATCGGGAGCACTCAAGGCATAAAAACTAAGCAGACAAAACATTGATTTTTATTGTATATTTTAAAACAATAAAAATGTTAGTTAGTGTCCGTCATGGTTTTCCTAGGAATGCAATACGAAAATGTGCAGTGTTTTTTTTTTTTTTTTTTTTTTTTTTTTTTTTTTTTTTTTTCAGATATCTTATATTTTCATGTTTAGGATACCCGCAGATGGTGATTGTATTACTAGAAGTGTTTAAAATGTCATTTTTGATTATAATCATATCATTATTTTAATTTTTAAGCATCTTCTGATAACTTACCCCTCGTCTGGTAATGAAACTATTTTCTTGGGATTTTCTAATTTCGATTGCGAGGGAATGACAACTTCACGATCATTTTCTTTTTCCGTGGCAGGCAAATCAATCGCAATTAAATTTTTGATGTCCTTTTGAGAAGAAGCCTCACTGGTCACTAAGTTCTCTTTTTCAGTTTCAGAAAGCAAAGAATTTGGTTCCGAATCAGAATTTTTGAGGCTCTCTACATCATTACATTTTACCGATTCCCGTTCAAGAGTAATAACGGAATCTTCATTTTGTACTGCACTTTGATTTGATTTTGCAGAAGAAGATGCTCTCTGGTCACTCGAAACATCCGCCATATCAGTCACGAATCAGCATCATTTTCATACCTGAAACAAAAGGGTTAATATCGAGTTTTTGTTTCTATATAACACATGAAATATATCCACATTAATTAATGTGTAATCTTGGTAAGCTTTGTTTATTAACTTTAAGGGCAGTTAGGGACATAAAAAGTCATGGGAAAAAAAAACATGGTTTTTATTTCGGGGCTCAAATATACAACATATTCCTTAGAATCAAACAAAGCAAACCGCATGGTTTACGATAATTAAATCAGCAAATATAAGATTTTGTTTCTAGGACTATCCATGAGTGAAACACGAGTTTCGATAGCATTTAATTCCTTTATCTTACAATGGGTTTCCTAATGATTTCACAATTTTAAGAGGATTACTAAAATTCTTCAAGAATTTTGATTTTGAAAGAAAAATTTGAAAATATTTGCCTCAAAACAAAAAATCAGTCTAAAAATATGTTTTTTATGATTATTAAAAAATTTGTAATTAATAATTTTTTTAAACCCGAAGAAATTGAAAAAAAATGCTTTTATACGTATAAAAATAAAAATGAAGGCAAACTGCTCGAGCATTTTCAGTAGCTATATAGAAATTATAAATGCTTAAAATGTAAAAATCACATTTTTTAAAATAATATTTCTAACTATTAAAAAGATACTTCTTATGCAAAGTGATTTTTATTTACATATATATATATATATATAGGGAAGAAACTGATTAAATGTATTTTTAAATAAAAGCAATAAATTGTAGTGCACCGGAATATTCCCTTAAAAGCACTGAGACTATGAAAATTGTATTATACAAACTTAAATTTTAAAATTAACAATAATATTTTGAGATGTAATGCCTGTGATGTGTATTTTTCTAATAATTAATCCACTAATATACCCATATTTAAGCAGCTGTCAAATAAAATAATAATAAAAGAGAAAAAATGTCTGAAAGTATCTAGATTTTAATGTAGCACGAGAGGGTCTGTATGCTGTCGTCGAGCTCTATTCTTGGATTGACTTCTGACACAACATTTTTTGCCTTTTTGGCTTATTATAACATATCTCTTTATTCGCATTTATAGCACATAAAATTCAGCAGAGAATCACAAAAGCAGCATAAACAGCACAGCATATCTTTAAAATTTGAGATAGGCTGTTAAGTGCTGTCATAATTTTTTTAGCCCAATTTTTAGCTATTATTCTCGAACCTCACTTTTGCTTCATATCACTGTTACTGTCATTCCACTTTTCAAATAACGGAATGCTGGAGAGGTAAAAAAAATTAAGAATATTTCCAGGGTTTTACATTAGCAGACGTTTCCCAGAGCATTCATAAGCGGATTTGCCAGCTTCATATTTAACTAAACATTATCCACCAGCTGTAAAAATATAAAAATTGGTCATGCTGATTTTGATGTTTTCGCATAAGATTTCTTAGATACAGTAATACTTAATAGGTAAAACCCGTTAATTTCGCCAAGCATATATTTTTGATTCCACAAATGTGGCATCAGTCATGAGAGTGGCAAAAAGTACTTTGCTTTTAATCTGCAGTTTATATTGCATTTAGGAATCAGTGTTTTGAATTATTTATTGCATATAAAATAATGAAATCTGGATTTTGCTTTTTAATTTTGATAGTTCTCTCCATTGAAGTCTTGCATTGCTTATAATGCAGAACCAACACTTTTTTTTTTCTTTTTTTCTTTTTTCTTTTTTTTTAAAGGCGGGAGACGGGAAAACGTTTAGTGTCCTCACTGGCACTCGAACCCTGAACATCTCGAATACTCGTCAAGTATACCCTAGTATGTTTCCACTTGCACCGAGAAACCATGCGGAAAGGAGGGAGAAAATATCTTATGACGGTTGTTTTGAAAGAAAACGGAATAACTTTTCATAAGTAATTATTCATAGTAACGATTTCATTAGTAATAGTTTGAAAATTTATGTTAATTATTAATGATATTTTACACCTTTCTCCCTGACTCCGAATCAAATATTAAAAACTGTAAATAATATACTTGTTACATGAAAATTTTAAACAGATGCTCACATGTAAAATTAGTAAACTGAAAAATAAATAGGCACTTTCTGATTATCTGCTCCCGATTTGAACATTCAGTAGAATTGCTCGTTTGCTTTATTTTCTAGTAAGCACCATGGAGTTAAGAAGTAATAGCGTTAGTTTCGTTCTTACCTCCAAGGTATAAACGCGGTTACGGTCAACCCCGTATGCGAGTACTGTACATGTGTTTTAGTACACCAGCGGCCGAATGTAAAGTCGCTGAACATTGGTAGTTCGGTCCGGGTCTTGAATCCCGGCGAACGGACTGGCTGCATGGGTGTTTTCGTGTTTTTCATCATGTGTAACGTGTATATGAGTCAGTTTCGCTTAGAAAGTCCTCCGGCATCCCTCTGCTAAGGTAGATAGCCTTAGTGTCCTTTGCCTAATTAAATAAACCAAATTAAGCAATGCACATGCATTGCAAGCACTCATCATCATCAATATTGCCGGGATATTGCTGTTTTGACGCAATGTTTCCGGCTCTAAACACTTAGGCCCGGAGGGCGCATGACGGTAGTTGGCAATGACAATTGAAAGGAGGCATCAGTAGTGAAAAGAGGGGGTTGACTGCAAGACGTCACAAGTGTCGCAGACGAAGTCAAGACCAGGAGATGCGATGACAGGGTGAAAATCGGACTTGTTCAGTTGTTCATAATAAAAGTTACACAAATATGATTATACAATACAATTTATTAGAATAATATAAATACATGCAAATAAAATCGAAAATGAATACATAAGTTATATACGGCTAAATAAGTCTATATACATATTTACAGCGACGTTGCACTCGTGATAAAGTTACGTAGGGAAGTTCGAATCTCGAGGTGAGAAAGGCCGCGAAGCGGTCGAATACGTGCGTCTTCTGCAAAATCTGATAATCGAACACTTTGAAGTGTTTCATATGAGGACAATTTTTTGCTTTTTCAAAGAACTTTTCTATTGGCTTTATGAAGAAACTCTTCAACTCTGTCGATACGTAGGTCTCATTAAGGAAATATAAAAATGCGCATTAGTAATAATTCTGAGAAGTTTGTTTTGCGTAACTTGGAGTTTTTTCATGTCACTTTGAGTGTAGGTCGCCCAGGCAGGTGATGCGTAACAGAAAATTGGTCTGATAATTTGCAGTATAGATGTGTCTTTTCCTTTAAGATCAAGTTTTTACCTATTAGAGGGAGGAGATTTTTGATAGTATAGGAGGTCTTCCATTTAATAGTGTGAATGTGGTCTTTCCAGGTAAATCTGTGATTTAAAACTACCCCAAGATAAGTAGCCTTTTTAACAAGTGGCACTTCTTCATTAAAGATATTAATTTTTCTGTCTAAAGGGATTCTGGAATGTTTTTTACCGATGATAATCAACTTGGGATTTTTGTCCGTTAATCGCAATTCTCCCATTTAGTACACCATTCCTCTATGGCTGGAATTTTTTCTTGAAGTTTTATCAGTGCATGCTCTTGACTTATGTGACTTCACGGCAAGGGCGGTGTCATCTGCATAACATCCGAGGTAAGTATTGAGATCGGCACTATTGGGTAAATCATAAACGTAAAAAGATACAAAATTGGGCCAAGAATAGATCCTTGAGCTACCCCGGCTTTCAGATATTTGGTCTCAGAGTGTTCATTTCCAAAATTTACAAAGAATTTGCGGTTCCGTATGAAAGGAGTTGATAAGTAAGATGAGGTCTCTACTGAAATCAAGTGTGATGAGCTTGAAAATGAGCCCCTCATGCCAGACGCGGTCGAAAGCTTTCGCCACGTCTAGCATGAGTAAGGCGACACTTTGATGTCTGAAATAAAGCAGATCCAATGAATTCGCATAGACGAACAAGTTGTTTTGTCGTTGATAGATTTTTACGGAAACCAAATTGTTCCATTGGGAGCTTATCCATATGCGGCTCAATTCTTTTATAGATGACCCGTTCGAAAATCTTACCTAGTCCTGGGAGTAGACTAATCGGTCGGTATCCCTCCGGTTTGGTGGCATCTTTTCCCGGCTTTGGTAGAAGAATGACTTTCGCCTTTTTCCATTTTTCGGGAAAAGTAGTTATTTTCCAGGCAGGCATTGAGAATGCTGACATATCGTTTGTGACAGTATTAAGTGGCATATTTTTAATTGCAACATTCGTAATTTCATCATAGCCAGGTGCTTTCCGGTTTTTCAGGTTTTTCTGATAATGTTTCTAACCTCTGTCGGAGATGTATATTCAGTGCGATTTTTGGCCCCTGGTCCTTCGAGCCAGTCTTTGATAAATTGCCTAGTATTAAGATGAGAAAAGAGGGTCACAAGGGATCTTGATTCGGTACGAAATTGTTGTTCTAAGTGCTCTGCCATAAGGGCGGCTTTTTCCTTGTATGTAAGTGCGAATTCTGTGTTACTATAAATTGGTTTATTGCAAGGGGGCTTGCGCCTAAGGTTTTTTGCGAAAGACCAGAAAATCATTTCCAGATTCATTAAACTCTCAATTTTATTATTCCAGACCTCATCCCGATGTTTCCGAATCTTGCAACTGATTTATTATTCTGTTAAGTTCTTTCTTGACCCCTGGGTCCCAAGAGATATGCCACCTCTTTCTCAAACGGTTTCTCTGTTTAATCATATCTCTAATTTCTCTGGGTAAACGGAAATTGTCTTTATCAATAGGGATTTTTTTGGTAGCAGTGTTGTATGCACTGAGGATACTATTGTTGAGAATTTCAATCGCATTATCAATGTCCTCTTTATTCTTGAGTGAGCTAATAATTGGAGGGTTCTCTAACAGTTGTGTGTAATATTGCTGCCAGTCAGTGATGTTTTTAAACTTGTTTTCTTCGCATTTGTTAGTGCCCAAAATAGCGATAACCGGCACGTCGGAGGTTAATTCAACTTTAACATCCAAATACATTGGAATGTCAGTATTTGTGAGCACAATGTCTAAAATATCTCCTCTTCTAGGGTTATCTGGGAGGTACGTATAAACTGAAGGTG